CTCTCTCTCTCTCTCTCTCTCTCTCTCTCTCTCTCTCTCTCTCTCTCTCTCTCTCTCTCTCTCTCTGTGTGTGTGCGAACTCTCTCTCTCTCTCTGTGATGGCGCGCGCTCCGACTGCGCGTGCAGGCTTGGGCGATGGCGGCTTGCTCTCTCTCTCTCTCTCTCTCTCTCTCTCTCTCTCTCTCTCTCTCTCTCTCTTGCGGGTGCGACTGCGCTTCAGCGTTTGAGTGTGCACAAACGCGAATGAGTGCACGCTCTTCCGCGCAGCGCTTAATAGCACTTGGTGGGAATTTTTTTTTTATTATTTTTTTTTATTTTATTTTTTTTTTAAACTGTTCGGTGGTCTTCAGGTGGCCAGAACCCCCACACCCCCGCCCCCACCCCCCCTCACCCGCCTGGGACCCCTAAAACCGACAGCCACCCTTCCCCTCCCCGGTATTGACCCCGCCCGCGAACGCTCTCGAGGCGCTCAAGGCGCGCTTGAGCGCGCTTTTGAGCGGCGCTCAAAAACATGAGCGCCGGGCCCACGCTCAATCAGCGCGGTTTCACTGCCCGCGAGATTCAAAAACGGCCAGTTTGAAACTGCTGGCCCTGCCTCCCACCACCCCACCTGAGTCTGCACATACTGTGGTGGGTCCGGCCTTCAACCTATGTCCGGTAGGGCAAAAACACACACAAAAATCGGCCCAGTATTTTTCCGGGGCCGCCGAGGACCCGAAAATCGTCCTTGTCGGCCCCTTTTTTTTTTTCGATTTTTCTTGGGGGAAGGCGGTTCCGGACGTCCAGGACCGGACAACGGACCCCTACATAATGTTTGGGGGTGTCAGGAAACCGGTCTGGACGTCCGGTCGGTTACCATGTTTTTTTCTCCGTTTTTTTCTCAGCATAGCCATCCTCATGTTTTTGCCCTCATTCTTCATGTATATAAGGGACGCCTGACCCAGTTTCCAGCAGGTGATGCTCCCCACCAATAGATGGAGCGGCCAGCAACATGCTTACTAGGGGAGGCTGCTCGTATCACCCCCCCCCCCCAGTAGGTGCGCTAGGGCATTGGTTAAAAAAAAAAAAAAAAAGAACGATCAATATGAGCCCTCTCGAGGAAAACTGCCTTCCCTATACAAGAAGGCCACTGTCTATGTACTATTGGCTTGGCGGGAACAGTTCAATTCGTTCGGGGACCAAAAAGTTCAGTTTGGGAATTTAGCTCCAAGGGAAAATGGAGTCCTGGGTTTAGAAGTGAAACGACCACAGCCCTGGGAAATAAACAGCAAACTCTGTGCTACAAGGTGTTCAAAGGGATGCTGGACCCGGTTTCCGGCAGGTGCCGCTCCCCACCAATAGATGGAGCAGCCCGACAGATAAGCCCTCAATTCTGACG